TGTAATCATTTTCGTTTGAAATATGTGAAATAGCCAATAATAATCCAAAAATAAACGGTAAAACTCGCTATTATTTCAAAAATATCCACAGTTACATACAAAATAAGAAAAAAAACCCAGAAAAACTAAAGAATAGGGACAACAAAGAGAATACAGGGATTAGAACCTAAACCGACAAGTCCCTATCTTTAACTTTTGACCTTTGACTCTTTAACTCATTGATCTTAACCATGCTAACATGCATCGCGGCTACCAACTTATACTGTACGATTGCCTAGTATGTATATATAAAGGTACAAGCCCTGTGTGTCCGTTGTACCTATGTATATCATATGTTCATTTATATATATAAAATAGACATATAAATTGTAACCAATTGGTAACCGCGAGGTTTCGTCGATATGTTGATGTCAGTCACACATAACAGATTTCAAGGACGGGTTCGATTCCCAGTGAAGGCATATAAAAATTACAAAAATTAAAGGTAAGTTTTTAAATTAATTCCATTAGTGAACAGAAATCAGTAAATTAGATAATTTAAACTTAATGAAATTAGGCACACAAAGGAAACAATTGAATATAATTTGGTGAATCAATTTCAGAGACAGATTTAGAAAGCGTTGATTCTAGAAAAAGAATCCACGGTAAATGAATAAGCTGACGTCACGACAATGGTTTAACTATTCTGAGTACCTAAAATCTAAAAGTCCTCAATCCCAAATTTTTTGTACAAATTTATGAGACTTGGTCAACGGTAAATTAATGTTTACCTATACTCAACTTTTTCTCAGCGGTTGCAAAGCACTTTGTCGAAATCATCAGGATGACACAGTCACTATAGTATAGTAAATAGTCTTTTGATGTTGTAAGACAATGTCATAAAACTATGACAATGTAATTTACACTGTTCAAGCATCACCGCACGTTAAACTTTGTACAACAGAAAAGCTGATTGGACATTAGTGACAATTTGTTTGGCCCTCCTGAATGGGCATCTTTTCAACGACCTTCAGTAAGCTTTCACTAAAATTATCACACACACACACACACACACACACACACACACACACACAAGTAATTGTATTTTCTAAACAAAACAAAAATATTAATACATTTATTTTGCATTAAACGTTTAATGAAGCCACGGATTCATAACCTTAAAAAATGGTTCACTAACAGTTGATAAAATGTAGTAAGTCTGAATATAAATATAAAAAATATATCCAGTACGCGTTAAAAACTTGCTCTATTCGGACACTTTTGGAATGTTTCAGTGGTGTACTTGTTTTGTGTGTAAAGAATTTTAGAGGTCAATTTGACTTTTACTCAGTTGGATTTTCAATTCAATTCAAAGATGTGTTGGGTTTTTCTTTTCTTTTTTTTTAAAATTTTTATCATTATTCTGTGATATTTTCCATTATCTTCTGAAATTTTGTATTGAAGATGAATGATTTAACATATTATATCTATACCGAACAATTAAATTTTACTCTTGGTTTATAAATACCATTGAAAGTACAACATCTAACAAAAGATAAAAATTGCCAGAAGAAAATGAGCCACTCGTTCTCAGGTTGAAATGGCATATGTCCGTCATTTGATTTTATGAGGTAAACGAAAAGTGGCGAAACTGAACTTCCAACAACGAGATGATATAATTATAAGCATATAATACTCTTGCAGTGGATTTTCAAAATGTTATGTAAAGCTTATCAATTTAGACATTTCTTGTCCCGAATTACTTCTTTGTTAAAATTATAATACATTATTTCATGGTACACACGACCAGAGAATTAAAATGAAATATGGTAATTGTATCTTTCCCTTTAGGTCACTTAAAACACTGCACAATATTCAATTAACATATACGTTTATACATGACCTTTCATAACTCCGGGCATAACATAATTTTTGAACTTTCAAGTCGAAAGAAAGAAAAAAAAATATTTCCAAGAAACTGAAAAATAAACCAAACACTTTGACTGTGTTTTATTTCTTCAGCGCAAGCTGTTTTGTACTTGCGGTCATTTTTTATTTTAACATTGAAGTAATAGAGAATTTAAGATTAAAACAGTCATTTTGATTTCATTTATCTTGAATTTTCAGGAAACTTTGATTACATTTTGAATGAAAATTATGTTATTTATTAACTAAGTATATTTTTTTATTTGTATTGATGGTCTACTGCCTCATTTTAATACATGTATTCTTAATATCGTGATCATATATCGAGAAAGATAATTGCTTCCAAGATCGCATTATGTAATGGACTAATTTTACCATTTTATCACTGTCCCCCTTTATTTATCGATGGGAATTCCACACTCTTTTGAAAATACTGAATCGAAAATGAAGTACATGCACAAAATAGTTTGTCTGACGTTAAAATACATAGTTCAATATCTAACGGCTTCATTTACACACACAGTGCACTGATTCTTTATAATATGTTCACGAAATCATTTGAAATTTTGTTTTTTGAAGAAAGACCTATTTTACAATATATTACATTAAGCATATTTAAAGTACGTCGACATGCCACTGCATGATAATTAAAATTTTTTTAAGGCATGTCAAACTGTCACCAGTATTTGATGTCCTAATAATGGACATCTACTAGTATCCAATCAACTGTTCTATCGCACACAGATTGACGTAAGGTGATGTTTGAAACAATGTAATGTCTAAAATGTCATTGTCATAGTTTTTGAACGCTGTTGTTATCTGTATATGTATCTGTATCAACACCAAAGAGTAAAATACTTCATTGCCGGAGTTGTGGACTAACGTTGATTTCGACAACGAACTTTGTAATCGCGGAGAAAAAGTTGAGTGTAAATTTATAAAACATTGAAAGATGATAATATGGTAAATGATGATTCAATTTATTAGATCAAATATCAGATTCTATTTTGAAAAAAAAAGATTTGCCAGTTGAATTTATGAATGTATCCATATTTCAGATTGATTTCGTGAAAAATAAACCTTCTGAGAACCTACAATTTTGTAAATTCGTTATTTACACACATATTGGTACAAGAGCATTTATAATAGATATTGCTGAAGGCTTTAATACCGTATCTTTGTTTTTTAAGGTTTTTACTATTTTTATTTTGTTTTTGTAATTTCCGAATGAAATAACAAATTGATGTTATAAGCCTTTACCATATCGCGATGCAAAAAAGTAAAAAAAATGCAACGAAAATCTAGTTAGTACAAACAAATTGTATGATGTTGCATTATTGATGACTACTGTTACTTAGCTGAAACTGGTCTTCGAGTAATAAGATAATTGATGCTTGTTTGTCTAAATCTTTACTTTTGAAATAAGTGTATGATAGGCAACAGTATATTAGTGATGTTCATATTTCATGCATTGATTAAGAAGACAAATCAATGAACTAACAAAAACTAAAGAAAATAAGAGACCAAGCATAGAACAATTAATAGAGATCGAAAAAAATATCCAAGGTCAATTGTGAAACATAACACTTGTCTGTCCTTGTGATGCCTCATACAGTTGTTGTTGAGAATGGGCATATTAGTCACGGATTTGTTGTGGATATAGCAACACGAAATGAAAAGTGATATTATAATTATTTTCAAATTCAAATGTATTGATTCCCCTGTTTCTTTTTGCAAACCTGCAAACGCAAGAGAATCTAAACCAAGACAAAAATAAAAAAAGAGCATCTTACCACCCAGTTAAAAGGAAACGCTATTCGCGTTTTGTTGACATAATACTCATTAGTCAACCAAAACAGTGGTAAAGACAATCAATAACAACGTTGAGTAGCATTGAACATCAAATATTCCAAAAGGTTTTGCCAAATCTGGCTAAAACTATCTAATAAATTACGTTTGAATCATTTTACCATTTAATGTACAGTTAATTTACTGAAAATGACCGCATCAATCACAGGAAAGGAACCTCAGTCGGTAGCATTATCAACCAAATGCCACTTATAAGAAGTTTTGATACATCAGGCAAACCTTTTAAACGCACCGACGTAACACATGGCTCTACCGTATACCATTCGAAAGTATAACATAGATACTGATTTGTTTTGATTTCTAGAACAGCAGTTAAATAGTAGTATATGACATCGTAGAATTAACTTTTTCACAAAATCCAGTAAATATAGTAAACAAAGGCGACAGTAGTTTATCGATGTTCAAATCTTTTTAATCGATTAGGAAGATACTCAAGCCTTTAGCTCTTCGAATTTAAAGTACATGTCCCAATGATACTATCTGAAACTTCTTTTCGAACGATAATGCTAAACTGGTAAAGTACATATTGAAGAATGTTTACAATTACACCAAAGCTATAGCTAGTTTGTAGTTTTGGCATTCAAATCAGGCAAAGAGATTATAGTAAAAGATTAGAGCAATTCAGCACAATCTCTCTCGTTGAAATCGAAAACTTGTCAACAACAAAAAAACATGAAATCATTTAACCCATAGTTTATTTTACCAGGTATTCAGTAATGAACGTAACTATTTTGGTCACGACTATCTTGAATTCATAATTGGAAAATACGATTTAGAAGGAAGTGTATATAAATGCATAGATAAGCAAATTTTGTATATGCCCTTAAATATTTCCGTTTTACTATCCATCGCAATCGGACGGAATGGCAACTTCAAGCGATGAAACTACTCCTTTGGTAGGCCAGTTTTATTTTTTCTAATCAGTTTAATCAATGAATATACTGAAGGCATTATAAGGAGTACTGATATTAAATTATGAGGCAAAATGTGTACATATGTTATGAACATTATTAATATCGTAGAGAACATTACATATGTTCCATTTGATTAGTACAGTTATTATTAATGATAAAACCAAGACTAAAAAAAACAAGGTTTTCATTTTTTAAATAAAATTTTCCAATTATTAAATTATTATCTTCTCTTTTATATAAATTTTAAAAAGAATAGTAATTTTGACATATCAAACATGTTTTTGTCTCTGTGCATTATCTTTTATTTTACAGAATCAAGTAGTGATTGGCGACACGTCTAACAACAATGAAAATACTTTACTCTCCAGTGATGTAAGTTTTATAAGGTCTTTCCACTTTTCCGTGGAAAGACCTATTGATTTTGTTCTGATTATTAGGTCTTTCCACTGTCCGTGGAAAGACCTTTTGTTTTTCTTCTGATTATTATTATTATTATTATTATTTTTTTTTTTTTTTTTCTGCCGTCTGAGATGCTTTTTTGTTTTACAGCATATCGAATAGATTTTTGGCCAATGATGTTGTACAGTAATGGGGGTTTCAAAACTCACCCTGTGTGACCGAACACTTATTCGTATAGGAGTTATCTCCCCGCGTCCCCTTTTTCTTGTTATCGCTATATCTCTAAAACCGTCAAAGATTTTAACAAACTGTTTTCACCAAATTGTTCGTCTACTCCTAAGAATGATTTGGTTAATTTTGACTGAAGTGATCGGAAGACATCTTATGGGAGTTATTTCCCTTTGAAAATTTAAGATAGGCGATATGTTGGATAAATTCATACATTATAAGTCGTAGAGGCCTACAGTCTTTTGATATGAAGTCCTCGGTCCATTTGAAGGAAATTGAGGTCAAGGTCAAAAGTCAAGGTCATGTTATAAATTTTGAATTTTGCTTGTTCTCGTTATTCAAAAGAAACTGTTACAGTTAATGATATGATGTGTTTGCCAAATAACTGTTTACAATAAGGCGCAACTTCAACCTATTTAAATCGAAGTGTTTTGATTAACCCTTATAGGAGTTTTCTCCCCTTATGCATTTGAAATCAGTATTTCTCCACAACCATACAAGTTATTGACCTCAGATCTTCCGATTTGAGTTCACTGACCTATGGCCTTGAAATTGAGGACAAGGTCGAAGGTCAAGATCATATTCTAAATATTGAATTTTGCCTGTAATCTATATTCAAAAGAAACTGTAACAGTTAATGATATGATGTGTTTGCCAAATTACTGTTTACGATAGGGCGCAACTTCAACCCATTTAAGTCGAAGTGATTTGGTCAACCCTTATAGCAGTTTTTTCCCCTTATGTATTTGAAATCATTATTACTCCACAACCATACAAGTGATTGACCTCCGGTCTTTCGATTTGAGATCACTGACCTATGACCTTGAAATTGAGGTCAAGGTCAAAGGTCAAGGTTATGTTTTAAATTTTGAATTTTGCTTGTTATCTTTATTCAAAAGAAACCGTAACAGTTAATGATATGATGTGTTTGCCAAATAATTGTTTACGATAGGGCACAACTTCAACCCATTTAAGTCGAAGTGTTTTGGTCAACCCTTATAGGAGTTTCTTCCCTGGTGTATTTGAAATCAGTATAACTCCGCAATCATACTAGTGAATGACCTGGGTTCTTTTGATTTGAGATCACTGACCTATGACCTTGAAATTGAGGTCAAGTTCAAAGGTCAATTTGACGTTCTAGATTTTGACCTTTGCTAAAAATTCTTACTGGTTCTTTATAAAACAATTAAGTCTTCTGCATTTGGTTGTAGATATTTCACCATTTATCAGGTCAAACGGAAATGACCGTATTTTAACCGGAAGTAGCCTATTTCAGACTAATCCTATGAAAAAGTATCAGAATTCTTATTATTTGATATCAGCTTTAAGTAACAAATTAGTGACATTTTCCAACACCGTTTTTTAAATTTCATTCTTTATTATCGAGGTGGAAAGACCTTCAATTGTTCTCTGAACAATTGGTTTTTAATATTTATTATTTTGTTTTCTTCCGCATAATTGTTTTCCTTCGCTGTTTTTTTTTGTTTCGCAAGATGTCGCTTAGATATTTGGAATATGATATCGAACAGTTCATACGCTTTTGAAACTGACACCGCTTAACCGAATACATTTCCATGTAAGAGTTACCTCCCCAACACTGTTTTTCTTGTTATTTCTAAAACTTTGCAACCGTATAAGAAACCGACAAATTTATTTTACCAAATTGCTCGTTATATCCTCAGGATGTTACGTTTAATTTTGACCGAAGCCGTATAGAGATTCCATAGAATCATATATTTTTGTAATCAGTGTCAAGTGAACTATCAAACAATACCGGAAGTGACATTTTTCAAACCGGAAGTAAAAAATTATCTCAATTATTTATATCTTTTTGTATATAAACCATATATTTTTGGAATCAGCTTACAATAAGCTGTCAATTGACGCTGGAATTGACATTTAAAACCAAATTTTAATATTTTGGTATCAAAATAGATCCTTACTGGTGGAAAGACCTTCAATTGTTCTCTGAACAATTGGTTTTTAATATTGTAATTACATCTCTTCTGAAAAAAAATCCTCATGCATGTTATGTGATCTTCTTTGAAACTACATGTCCGATCGATCTCAGTCAGCAGGGTATACATGTACTACATCTTCATATAACAACGTTGTGCAGCTACCTACCAAGAATTTTCGTAGAGAAAATAAATTGCAATGCGTAAAAATCGCTTGCAAGCTCCGTAAATTTCCGTGAAATCCTACGATGAAATGTCTGGTCCTAGATTAAAATACAAATCTGTGTTAAAAAACTGGTGCTGAAAAATGTACGTTGTATGAAAATAATCGATAAACGTGTTTTAAATGTACACAGGATCAATTAAATCCAAAGCATACACTGCTCTCGAACTGTGATCAAAACGTCAATTACCTACACTGACAAAGGATATACATTGTGTGTATTCCGTCGCTGTACATGTTGTCTGTCCAACGTTTCCACCTAAAAAGAAAAAGTTTTCGCTATTAAAAACCCTCGTCACGTGACGTATCAATCTGGCGCGATAGACGCACGCGGGACCTGAAATAGAATAAAAACTTTCCTAACTAAATATAAAAACTTAACCATGCCAAGAAATTGCCTCCGTTGAAATTCTGCAAGTATCCCATAGAGCAAATTACATGGATGATTAATATTGACCATTTGATATATGTCCGTGTTCTAAGCGACACGTACATGAAGGTAATAAATTAATTTGTTGAATGAAATCAAATCTTTAACTACTAATGGGCGCCGTAGGAGGTGTACCGGAATTTTTAGCCAGTATTTATTGGCATGCAATACAATAATATGGACCCTTCAGTAAAGAAAGAAAGAAACAAACAAACAAACAAACAAACACATATCAATCAATCATGTTTCAAAGGGGGAAAGACCGTTTACAATTGCTTTTTTAAAGCAATTGATTTATATTTCTTGATTGAATATCTGTTATTTCTATGTGAGTCTCAAAAGTGGAATACATAATCAGATCGAGGAAAGTTGACATTTGACTAATACAGTTATATTGTTGCAGACGTTGCTACTTGTGATTGAGTTTCATCTTTTGATATTTATTCTTTTATTCAAATTTAAAACAAAATCAATCATATATACTTATTGATAGTCCGTTTGCGTTCTAAAGATCTTTAAAATAAATGTTTACAAATATGATTTCCGATTAATACTATTTATTTCACTGTGTTTGTTTGTGTAAGTTGTAAATTTTGTTATAAATAAGTGCTCATTTCGGTCTGTCTAATAATCATAATAATAACAAAGATAAGAAAGCTAAATTATAAGTATAAATATACTTTCGGAAAAACGTTGTCTATGATAAGTAACATTTTCTGTTTGATATTAATTGTCCGAAACGCCACATAGATTTGTCTATCCCCATGTTTCGTTTGAAACATGTCTCAATAAGATTACCAAACAAACATATATCGTGCACACTAAATCGGTTTCAATTTTGTATACAGATATAATTGGTTTCGGTTTTTTTCAGATTAAATCAGTATTTAATTATTATACAAATAACTCTTGTTTGCACAGCTTTGTATCTTATCAATATTTTCAGGACCCACCGCATGAAGGCGAGGATTTCGTGGAAGGCAAAAATACTCTCGGCGTAAGTATTTATCTTTTAGGTAATAAGTAATCATTTTACGCATAAAAGTGCATTGCGTGTATATTCTGCCTTGGATTGAGATTGTTTGTTGCATTATACTGTTTTGCATGGGGCCTGCATGTCAGCACAGGAGTAATCAGAATAATCGGGATATCGAATATGTATTATAGTACACCGTCATAGTTGGAGTCGCAATTGTTAAGCTTCAATGAACAGAATCGATATAATACTGAATATTCTTTCGAAAATACTTCTAACCTTGAGTGTTTAAAATTGTATTCTAGGATTGTCAGTTTTCTACAGAAAGTCGGCGTTTCTCTCCTGGAACTCTGGTTTTCTCCACCAATAAAACCTGCCCGCTACGAAATAGCACAATAGTGTTGAAAGTAGCGTTAAACACCAATTAATTAATTAAAAATATATTCGATGCAATATCAAACTTTGTAACAACGGAATAAAAAAACCAGTAGCAAACAAAATAGTTCCATAAAAGTACATGACAATTATTTGAGATCCTTTATATTAAGGCATCTCGACTATATCTTTTTTCTTGAATTTTATCAAAATAAGAATATATATAAGAATTGATTGCAAACACACCTTTAAAACTTTTCTATAGCAGTTATAATGTGTCTTCTGATTTCAGGAAGATGAAACTGACAATACTTCTAACACCGGTGTTTTTACAAACAAATTCCAATCTCGACGTGAAGTTACAAAAGGATTATACGACGTTGCCTTACTGATGGCAAATGTATCTCAGCTAAAATCAGTCTTGGATTCAGATGATAGTACATACTATATGGCCCTAGTTTGTCTGCTTAGTTTATCGATAGCATTACACCTGGCAAGCGCTATTTTGCTCTATATTTTGCTCATTATAGAGAAAAATGCAAAGAACAAACAACAGCATGACGCTGTGAAGATAAACAGCAAAGAAGGATATCAAACAAAACAATCATCTCTGAAACAAACTCCAGCTAATGAAAGTGAAAAAACTGCAGTATGCACAAACTGTTTTGCAGTAACACCGTACTGTCGATGTTGGAAAATTTACAAAATTGACATTATAGCAACATTTTGTGTATTTGGTGTGACAGTTCTCAATATTTTTATTACAGCGTTTGGAAGCAGTATCAAATCATAATTCACAATCGATCATAAGTAAAGAAGTTAATTGGAAGCCGAAGACAACTTCAGCCCAACATAGTTGTTTAATATGGAATGGACAGCTGTTTATTTTCTCAATCTATCTCTTGTATCCATTCATCCTTGTATCACCGCGTCTGGTTTTGGGTCTATCCTCTCCGTGGTTCATCTTTTTACTAGAAAAGGGTCGATACCGCTACAAGTGGAATGTTAGATCCCAGGGAAACCACCAGCTCTGTAGTCAGCTAATAGGTACTGAAATTATTTATAACATACTTTTCTAAAACATCCCGTTGAAAAAATTCAAAAATTATTAAGAAACTATGGTTCAAAACTCCCCCAGTCAAAGTTGACTTACGATTAATTTGATTTTTCTTTTTTGGTCCTTTTTGGACATGAAGTTTCTTATGTTTTACGTATTTATACGACTCTGGCTTTCATTATTTTTCGATTTGAGCGTTTCTGTTGAAGGTAAATCCTGAAAAACGCATCGGACGCACTCATTGCATACAATGTTATTTCATTTTCTGCTGTAATCCTCGCTTGCTTTCTCTAATTGTTTTCCCCTTGCTATCCTTTTTAAAACTCCGGATTGCAAAATCTTATGTTGATGGTGGTGGGTGTTGTCTGTTTTCATTATGGGTTTGCTAGTGCTGCATTGCAATTTGTATCAATGTATTACATAGTTGCATCTCTTTTTCATGCATTTTTCATGCTAATCTGTTTTATGGTTGTTATGGTTCGTATTGTTCTTGTGGTTTTTTTTCTTAATTGGTAAGTCCTTTTACATTACTAATTACGGAGTCACTAAGGAATTTCATTTATGATTTATTCAATATCTGTTTTCATAAGCTGGGATATTCCAACTTCGACGACACTGAATAGTCTTATAGCATATTTCATAGCTTCAAAATAATGAATATAACCATTAAGAAAGTGACAATAAAATCGTTCGCTTGCTGTTTTCTAAGTTTTCTAAAACTTATGCGCAATGCCCCCAACTTCTTAAAACTGTACGAAATAGATGTTTTTAGAGGTTAAAAATAAGGTCGAAGAGAAACTGACAACGCTGTGACAAAAAACGAGAAACAAAGAAAAGATAAACAAAGTCTACAAAACACAACTTAGAAAACTAAAGCCTGAGCTACACGAATCCCATATAATGTTGATCTTAGGTCATGCGGAAGTATAACTGTACAATAGATATGTCCCGAATATTAATAACGAAATAATCGAGTCTTATTTTTTGCTGTGTAGATATAACCAATTGGAATATTTTGTCTATTAATAATGTTTTTAAAATAATAGTAATGTAGAGGAAACTGTTCATAATTTTAAAATAATACAATTCAATAAAAAATCAGTTATTTCTCTTTTGTCCTTCAGGTGTATCAGTCGCGGCGTGTAAGATGTGAAGAGATATCATAAGGGGTCATCTTTAGAAAAAAAGTATTAACTAAAATAGCGAGCTCCAAGGTAAATTCAAAAGGAAGAAGTCCATAAAACCTTACAGAATCAAACATTAGACTATATCAACCAACGACACTGGATTTATAGCTAGTTATACCTCATACTTGTATGCCAGTTGTTTATAGTTCCGTTATATTTACAAAATTGGCTGAGCAACCCAAACAGACATACGGTATATGCCGACTATACGGTATGGGTTTTTTCTGATTGCTGAAGGCCGTATGGTTGCCTTTAATTGCTTACATCCACTTCATTTTAACTTTGGTGGATAGTTGTCTCATTGGCAATCATACCACATATCTTTTTTTATATATAACTGGTAATTGTGACAATAGTTGAGGTCCAGTTTAATTTAGTTTCATTGCAAATTGATCAATCAAATATGAGTGCACTATGGTGAGAACCTCCCCTCACAATCCCTGACCTCTGCACATATAAATTGACAGAATTGACACAAATTTCAAACGTTCTATTGATTATTTACTTCCGGTATATTATATAAGAAAAAAATAAAGCAATATACCCGACAGTGTTTTGATAATACATCAATTCATGGAAAGATTCATCATCCTTTATATAGTATGTCGTCATATCTTACAAACCGCGACAAAAAATAAGACTGAACAAAGTAAAATATCTAATCAAACAGATGGGAATCATTGAGAGGTAGATTTTTACGTTATGTTCATTTCTGTGCAGTCAAATTGTCTCTTTGTATTATTGTTCGGTTAAAATTGGTGATTTTAAAAAAAATTTACAATGATGACGATCAACGGACTCCAGATGATAACATAAGTTAGCTTGGATTATTGTGTGAATTCAGCTAGATTTTTTTTTTTAAATCGATTTTTATATATGCACCCAATTCATCTACGGCATCTAAATTCGTTCTACTGAATTATTTCTCTTTCTAATATAATACTTCACAACACTATAAAACCAGCTTTGATAAAATGTTTTGTCGTTCAATATTTTATTTGCTGTTGTAGTCGATACATTTTTAAAGTCACAGTAAAAGAATATTTAGATATAAATCAAGGCGACTGTAGTTTACAGATGTTAAAACAAAAAACACCAGAGGAATTGCATGAACTCTAAAAGGATTCCCACTCAGTCAAAATTTCATAATCGGAAATAGGACACCATCTGTAAAACTAGAAAGAAGACACCTATACTGGTATCTAAAGATCTAAGATCACATGTTGCAAGGAAATTGAGACATCGACACATTGTATCTATCAATCAATTCGTGATGGTGACCATCAAACTTGTGTAGTGTCGATTTCAGTAGTTCTTCCTTAGAACTCAAATTTTGTGTAAGGATCACAGCCCCGTTAATAAGTTCCGTATAGTGTGAACCTGCACTATGGTACCATATTAACTTTTGTCATAGATCCTAGTTTGAAGTCGTCCATATGTGTCTATATCGAGGAAAATATCAAGATATGAAACAGACCTTCTACTTTCGGTAGAAACTTTAAATCTGAAGTTCACTGGGATATATAAGAAGTAAGTACTCATTAAAATTTAGGTTATTGAGTGACAGAACATCAGCAGTACACATGTATGAAATTGAAATTAAAGAACTTTGAAGGATGCTCTTTGTCTTTTTCTTTGAGAAAAGAGAATGTGTGGTTTCAAATCAGACATCAAAACTAAGGCCAAGGTATTGTTTGTTAGCAATTTAATCACTTGATTCGTTTTATGCGCGTTCCCGTCTTAAAACAATATACCACAGAACAAATAATCATCGACTCGCAAAACACATGAAGGACACGGTTTCAGAACTAGGATCTACAGTATACTATGGTCTAAATAACTATTTCATCATATCTGAGTTTTTTTTTACTTTTGTTGTTTTACCTTGACTTAGTTGACTGGTACAGTTCTTGAAGGAACACTTCAGTATATGTGTATCTCATTTAATCTTTTATGCACATTAACCATGATATTTAACGTAATTTTAGAAAGATAATCGTGCACGAGAAAGTATTTTAAACAGAATACATTTTATAAAAAATTAAGACCTAAATCCGTTTCATTATGCCGATAATCCTGTGGAACATATTTCAAATTTCCAAAGCATTCATATTGAGATTGAGGTAAATTGAATAAATACAAATATCGGTTCCTGTAGCAAATAAAACGTTTAAGAGGAAATAAATTACAGTAAATGATAGCATAAAAAATTTGCAAATCAATATTTATGAAGCGTACATGATGCAAAGATACTCTCATACTACTTACAAACGATAATGGAAAATATAAAATAGGGAGGCGCAAAGGAAAAATTATAATTTATGCATACAATTGGACTGCCAATTTAAGATTAGAACAAAACCATAGACAGTTGGTGGTTGTAAGTCATAGCAGTCAAGATACGTTTAAAGGTAAAAAATAATTCAACATAAATATAAAAATAAGGAGATGTGGTATGATTGCCAATGAAACAACTTTCCATGAAGTTTGTTCCATGAAACTTAAATAAATGCAGCAAAATGTATATCAACGATTCAGAATCATTTATTTGAGTTTCGATGAAACAAGAATTAACCCACCCACTCTAATATTATTAAGTTTTCCTAGTATTCAAGAAATTGATGTATATATTTGGGTCAAGCAGAATTGTTATGAATGGAAAGTTGGAAAAAATAATACAAGGGGAAGCTATTAAAGTGTCTTGTTCTTATGTTGTACTGTTACACTACTGTCCCAGATTAGGGGAGGGTTGGGCGCCCGCTAACATGTTTAACCCCGCCACATTCTGTATGTGTCTGTCCCAAGTCCGGAGCCTGTAATACAGTGGTTGTCGTTTGTTTCTGTGTATCACATTTGTTTTGCGTTCATTATTTTGTACATAAATGAGGCCGTTAGTTTTCTTGTTTGAATTGTTTTACATTCGTCATTTCGAGGCCCTTTATAGCTGACTATGTGGTATGGGTTTTGCTCATTGTTGAAAGCTGTACGGTGACCTATAGTTGTTAATTTCTGTGTCATTTTGTCTCATTGGCAATCATACCACATCTTCTTATTTTTATAATTAAAGCAAATGAACTAGCACATATTTTTTTGTTTTCACGTTTGGTTGCATAGAATAGATACTTCGGTAAGAAATATTTTGATTATCTGTATGTTTTAATCAATGTTTACTATGGGCTTCATCATAATTACTTACACGAAAAGCAGAAACAATAGTTTTACGTAAAACAATGATTGTGTATAGAAGAAAAAAACAATTCAATGATGTCTAATACTAATTATTATCATATTGTATCATTTTTTTATCGTTATAGGTTGTATGTCTGTAAATATAGACAATGTAATTTCCCATAGGAACTCATTTTACGGCTAAGACTGTGCCACTTTGACTATGAAGTTTCGTAAAAAGTTATATCCTAGAATGGAAAGTTCATATGCACTATTATTATTTTCAAAGGTCAAAACATAGGGCTGTGCGGCCTAATTTCAACACTTATATGCCTCGAACTTCTGAGAGTTTAAACTTATACTAAAATTCTGTACTACTCCACTCATCACTTTGGGTCTTCCTCAGAATTCAATTTGGACGATATTCATTTGTATTTATACTGGTAAAATTCCCAAGTTGTATCTCTATGAGATGAAACATAGAGATAATATCTGTGAACCAGTAGGTAAACAAAACATAGAGATCATATCTGGGAACCAGTAGGTAAACAAATAAAATATCTATGAATATTATATATAAAAAGGCGTGGTTTGTGAAACAGCTATATTTACAAAGTGCAACCTATAGGCATTTTGTTAAACCAGGTATAAAGGCGCCAAATTTTTAAAATATTAATCATGCATATCTCGTCTCACTATGTTTAATAGGTAACACCTTTAATAAGTATTAAGTATGACGATAAAATTTTCACTTCCGTACTCGTACTCTGAACAACAAATTTATCAATTTTGTAAAAAAAAATTTCCGTACTCCTAACAAAAAATTATTATATTTAAATTTACCTGTGTACGTTGTTTTATTTAACGCAATTTTGTCTAAAGGTTAGAGTTGGCTTATTGACACTCTTATTCATCTTTTTTTATTAATACCTGTAACGTCTATGTTATATAGGCACCTACGTTTTAATATTGTATTGATATTGTGTCATAGATCAAACTTATTCGTTTAGTGTATGTTTACTTGGTTTTGCTTTAATGTCTTTTTGATCGAGTTAAGCCATTTCAATTGATATTTTATAGTGTGTCTTTTTATGTTGTAATGTTACACTACTGTATCCGGTTAGGGTGAAGGTTGGCGCCTGTTAAAACGTTTAAACCCGCTGCAATTTTATGCACTTGTCCTAAGTCAAGAGCCTGTTGTTCAGTGGTTGTCGTTTGTTGGTGTGGTTCATAGGTGTTTCTCGTTTTTATATAGATTAGGCCGTTGGTTTTCCTATTTGAATTGGTTTACACTAGTCATTTTGGGGCCCTTTATAGCTTGCTGTTCGGTGTGAGCGAAGGCTCCGTGATGAAGGCCGTACTTTGACCTATAATTGTTAACTTTTTATACATTGTGACTTGGATGGAGAGTTGTCTCATTGGCACTTATACCACATCTTTTTATTTATATTTACTGCAGGGTTTGTTGCTCGTGCTGTGTGGATGCAGTTGAATGTGTCCCCGTGCTGGCGGTGTATGCCCTTATATTTTACAATAACGGGTTGTTTGCCTGTGCGAGAGCTTTCACATGTTTATTATATCTTTGTTCTTTATTTGTTTATTCAATAGAATGGTGTTGGGATGTATAAATACTCATCCACGCTTGCTGTTTTTATTATTGTCCCCTGCTATGGTTTTCTTATAATCTCTGTTTTTGCTCTGTGTTTGTTATATGTCTGTTTTGTATTACTTAAGTCTTTTCGTCGGGCATTT